ACGAACAAGCTTTTTTTGTTGTTTATTTATAGAGTCTAGAAATGTGCGATACGTACTACCCCACACTTCTAAACCACAGGAGATATGAGGAAGAATTAGAGAATTATACAGAAGGATAAGGACGTATTTGGGAAGTGTATGTCTGAGCTTAGCAATTATACCAATTAAAGGAGTTATCTTTGCTAAAACTCTATTAATATGCGGCTTCCATGTAAGATGTTTATCTATCACCACACCAAGATAAGTAGTAGTATCGACTTCCTGGAGAACTGCATTGTTTAAATGTATGTTTTGTTTGTTTACCAGCTGTTTCTCAGAGGTGGAAAACATTAATTGGTATTAATTGTAAGTTTATTAGTGTTGCACCATGTGTTCACCATATCTAAATGTAAATCAACTTCAGCGCTGGGTATACTTTTACTGGAAAATGAATGAAAAAGATTTTAGTCATCAGCAAATAATTTGGAAGTAAGTTGATGATGCAGGAATATCGTTTATATAAATTAGAATCAAAGAAAGCTTAGAAAGAACTCCCATGTGCTGAGAGTATTGGAGACACATTAAATATAATTCGAAATTACTTAGCTGAAAACTAATTATGCAAATCAGAAAATTAATATGACCAGATTTGAGTGTAAAACTAATGAGGTCTGCGCAATGTAACAGAAAATCTATGTCTCCAAGTTTAATTGAAATGTGATTAGAACCAAAAAATTATGAATTATTATGCTTATTAGGGAATTAATATGAACAGATTTTTACCCCAAACTAATTAGGTTTGTACATTGTCCTAGAGCATCTTTGTACTAAGTTTCATTGAAATGGAATAATTAGTACCGTGAAAACTCCAAAATTTCAACCCCTCTAAAAATTCGACCGCCTATTTATTTGCCCGATTTCGGTGTTTTATTTACCTCCAAATTTTCGACTCCACTAAAAATTGCCGACTCATTCTTATTCGAAAATTGCGACCAGTTTTAGTTTTCCCCCAAACGAAAAAAAAAACGATGTGAGCATTCAAACGGGACCTTCCTCAAAGGCATGAATCCGGGTTTCTGATTGACTGAGAGATTTTTATTTTATTGGTAACGAAAATACTGTACTCAGTAGTGATTATAATAATGTACACAAAATAAATTTGTTGAATGGTTATGAAATACAAATAAAAGTCAACTTAGTTTCATCGTAAGCGAATGATTCCGGTCTCGTATAAACGTTTGATGCTGTAAGATATCCGCCATGTTCTCTTAGGTCAAATAGGTCAAATCGCTAATTAACCAATCAAAAAGCTGGATGATGCCAACGTGTTCAAATTACCATAGCTTATTTAAATATGTTAATGTTATTGAACGCAATGCGGAAGAGATTGATGTTGTAGTACGATATTTTGGCTTGGATTTTGATGCGAAAACGGCATGATTTTTTTTAAATAAAAAAATTAGTTGTTTTTAAAAAATAAACTGGTTCATCTGAAGAATAATTTAACATTGTTCACAGTGATAACAGCTCATTCTCGAAAGGAAGCTTATCGCTCACGCTAGTCACGATAAA